TAGTGTAAATTTCAAGCTTGGAAAGAAGACCTTGTTGCAAGAAGCTTGAAGATCAAGGAGTTGGAGGCAAAAAAAGTTTGTAGATCTGAAGTATACCTCAGTTTAGCATCATTTGAAGGTAACAAGTTGTTACCTTGACACCCTTCTAGCTAGATCTTTCTATGTTCATGATTTGGGGCCATTTTAGCATGTTGGAGATTCATTTCGGGTGTTGGACCATGATCTGAGGTTGCAACCTCAGATCTAGTCTCATTTTGGTCCATGTATTTGTAAAGTTTCAGCCTTTAGCATGTTAGTGCACTCCTCTTGCCTAGAACCTCTTCTTTAGCTTTACGTGATAAACATGCCTTGGGAGCCTAGATCTACTATTTGGAGCTTTGAAGCAGCTTAAAATCGTCTGTATGAATGAAGGACTGAAGGGACTCGGAGAGTGTCATGAACGGCTCGGCGAGTCCGATGAAGATTGTCGTGAACTCGGCGAGTTGTATGAACGACTCGGCGAGTCCGATGAAGATTGCCTTGGGCTCGGCAGTCAGACGAGTGACTCGGCGGTTGGCAAGTTATGAAAGGAACTCGGCGAGTAGCTGAGGGTACTCGACGAGTTAAGGTCAACATGGACTGTTAACCTTGACATTTGAATTTGACTTTGACCAAGAGTTGACCAGTTGACTTCTGAGGGTATTTTGGTAAATTGGGTATTTATAGCAAAGGACATTGCTGAATATAGGTGTTGGAGTTGGAGCTACTTTTGGAGGAGTTTATCACTACCTTCCGAGCTACTTGCGAGGTGAGTTATCCTCACTATATCAACAGGGTCTACGGCACCAAGGTCGGCTCTTTATCGGATTTGTATCCGGGTATTTGCATGATATGTTTACTGATTTGTTAGATCTGCGTCCTGGTAGTTAGGACGGTATTATGTTTAGTGACCTGGTTTAGGTCGGTATCCTGGTATATAGGATGATGCTATGTTAGTGACCGGTTAGGTCGGTATCCTGGTATATAGGATGATGCTATGTTAGTGACCGGTTAGGTCGGTATCATGGTTATAGGATGTTGCTATGCTATATGATCTGTTAGATCGGTTTGTTTGTCTATAGACTGTTATGTGATTATCTGTTATATGTGCACATGGTTGTTTGATTGGGGGTTGGGTTGAGGCGAGTCCTGCTTCGTGATGTATGTCAACATACCCAGGGCGGACCGGATAGACTGCAGACCCGGGAGTGTACATAGTCAGGCCGAAGGCCCGGCGAGCAGTCCGGATAGGCTGAAGTCCCCGAGAGGGCGGTCCAGACGTGCCGAGGCTCGGAGAGTGGTCCAGATAGACTGAAGGCCCGATGCGGGCGGTCCAGTCATACTGTAGACTCAGAGAGTGGACCAGGTGGACTGAAGGCCCGGTGCGGGCGGACCAGTCACACTGTAGACTCGAGATGCATGGTTGTTCTGTATTTGTTGATATGATATGATTATAGTTATATGAGCTTGGTATTTTGGGGGTAACTCACTAAGCCTTCGAGCTTACATTTATCGATTATTGTTTCAGGTACAACGGATGACCGCGGGAAGGCGAAGGCGTGACCGTACACTTCCTCATATTTTGATTTGGATTTCTGGGATATTCTGATATGAATGATTTAAAAAAGTTTTAAATTGGCTTTATTTTTATGGGTGCTACAACAACTATATCTCGGTTAATATAAGCATCTATGTTGATACGAACATACTACCATATAAACATAATATTAACTTTTATATAATATTTACCATGCATTTTCCCCTGAAAACATTAAAAAGTGAGGTCGTGAAACTCACCCTAGTAGCGTGAATTTATAAAATCTAACTAGAAATGGTCAGCGGTTCGTGATCGTCGGGCTCGGGACGCGGAATGCCTTCAGCAAACGAGAGAGGGAAAATAGATTTGGTGTAAGGAATGAAAGGGTCAAACTTGCTATTTATAGGCTTATTTGGGATCTCTCACGTCGTGAGCCACACATGCTCACGTCGTGAACCATGGCTGGTCACCTCGTAGACTTTCCATTTGCGTTTCTAGCTTCGGAAGGTGTCCGTTTAACTCCTCACGTCGTGAGCAAACATGCTCACGTCGTGAACCCTAAAATTATCACTCTGTGACTTGCCCTCTACATTCTAGCCTTGAAAAGTGGCCTTTTGACTCCTCACTTCATGAGAAAAGATGCTCACGTCGTGAGCCCTGACAAATTTAGGGTTTCTGTCACGTGTCATGCTCTCAGACAGCTACATCTTCAGAAGGTCATAACTTTTGCACACAAACTCTGTTTTTGACGTTCTTTATATACACGCGTAGGTAATTCCGAGTACTACATCTTTCTTTTAGATTCCAATAGCTAATTCTAAGTATATTTTATATTCCTCGTGTAATAGAGATTTATAGTGTTAGAATTTATCATAACTTCTTCATGCGAAGTCAGATTTAAATGTTTTATATATTTTTGGAATCGTATAGACGTGTACTTTGATTTATAACATAAGGTATGCATGAAAGTTCATACTTGTATTTAGAATTTACCATGAACTACATAGTGAGTTTATTACATTACTTGTTTGACATAATCACATGTGATTATTGTTGACCTATTTTTACTAGTGTTACGGAGTGGAACTTGTCAAGTTCCTTATTAATGTAAATGATGTAATTCATATTTGTTGTTATGGTTGTATGATGTTTAATGATAACACCCAATGTTTTAATTGTAAATATTTTTATGGGACCGATTTTAATTAAATGGGGGTTAATACCCAAATGTTTTATAACCATAGCATTTGAAAAAGTTTTGAAAAATTTGGGGTGTTACAATTTGCTTTGTCTTTACGCGGAAGCCTACAACCATAACCATGGAGCGACGTAAAAACCTAAAGAACAAGAGTCGTTCCTTGTAGCTTTCAATAATGAAGAATCAACGATGGTAGATTGGGTTTTATTTTCTATCACATTTTTTAGTTTGTCTGACAATGGGATATGCTCTTACCTTTCTTATGATCAGATCTCATGGCGAATACTCAATATGATTTTTGGACGGAACTTGGTAATTAAATGATAATAATTATAATAAAACATGACTTATTATCTGTGACAAATAGACTATAATTTTCAATATTATTTATCGGTTTTCTTTGGATATTACTGTCAATTTGGTATAATTTTACAATACTAAATATTAAATTATTTGTCTTTCAAGTCTAAAATACAATCTTAAAGGTTTTCAATTGGTGATTAAAATTCTAGACAAATGACACTAAAATATCTTTGGCCAACTTTAGACTACCGAATCGAGAGTTCGTCAAAATGGACTACTTTTTTTTTGAACGGCAAATACAAATAAAAACTAAACTACTCCTAAATTATTTCACCTATGTCCACAGTGTGACTTGAGCCCTTGGACTACTTTGACGGTCAGAACTACTCTTGCACTGCTGTCCTGACAAGGACAAGTTGAAAAAATTCCACGAGTCCATTAAAAAATATATTTTTATGATCAACAACAAATGAACCACATCTCTATACTAAGGCTATGTTTCTTACATGAGACAAAACTAGCTGTACCAGCTATTTTCGAGATGAGAATGAGGGCATCCATTTTGTTGCATAGACAAATCGTCCATACCGAATCTATGTCCCCATTGTTGCGCATTTTTAGGTGGGCTGGAAAATTGACATCAAATCTTAGCATATTCCAATCACAATGACAGAACAAATAGGCCCTAAGTAGACTTTATTCCAGATTGTAATTATCGAAGAACAGACCTCGAAGGTGCCAAACATCAGGGCTTGTGGTATTCAAACTTGTTCCAATTCAGTGGCGATAACTTATTCATCCTTTTATCATATATATGAGTTCTAAGAACTCGAAAATTTGAACACACGGAGATCCAATGTGTAAAACAACCCTCTCCCATTCATTTTTCCATCCAAAATCATATTAAAGCCAATTTTCAATATACAAATATATATAAATAGCCAAAAGAAAGAGCCAACTTTCACATAATACCAGAGACTCTAATTCTCTGTTTGTAAAAGGATTGCATGATTAGGAAATACCCAACATGTCCAGGCTCCCCAGCCTTAAGATCTATAGTGGCACAACCTATCCAGATAACCACATTGACACATACGAGTGACACATGAAATTATTGAAGTTGTACGAGAGATTTTGGTGCACACATTTTCCAACAAAAATAGAGGCAATGTTGGAGCATGGTTCAAAATCCTAGCACCAAACAACATCACAATTATCACTTTGCATACATCAAAAAAACTCACAAGGTTTTACATCATGAATAACTACAATATAGGTGAATAGTATAATATATGAAGCTTTGCTTCTACAAAAGAAAACATTTTGTGCATCAAAGCAACCATTTCCGTATGCAAAAATATAAACCAAATGGTTTGGTTTACATTTGTACCAAATGATATAAGACTAACTAGTTACGTAAGATAGAGAGTTAGATAAAAAAAATGATAACATGAAAAGGGTTAAAAGATCTGCTGAAAATGATATGATGAAAAGGATTAAAAGATCTTGAACGAGATTGCATCTTCAATTTTTTGTTAAACTAAAAATAACATAAGGAAAAGAGTTTTGCTTTACAATGTCTCAAAATTCACCGGCTTTCAAACGATTTTTTTTGTATATAATACACATCTATACATTTTAATATGTTCCAAGAAATCACTTCATGTGAAAAATCATTACTTAGACATATTCAAACATTTAGCAAAGCTATGAATCCTACACAATTGTCAATGTGTTACGTGAACAAATATCTAAATGATGAAAGAGCTACTGGAGGTCTCCATCAAGGGAACATATTTCCACATTAGGACATTGATGAACACTTACAAGAAATGGAAGTGGTTCATCCTACTTTACAACTTACAAGCATGTCCCTCCATCATGTCATGAGAATACGAGATATCATAATATCACATTGTCTTAACCTTCTTGCCTCCTCCACAACTAATCTCTTATTAGCGCCACATCTTGCAATCTCATCTGGCTAACAAGTGATGAAACATTACAATCTGATTGATCAAGCAGCAGTAGTGTTTCCATATACGAGCTAACAAGTGATGAAGCATATTCTGCATGAATCCCAATATCTCTGATGTGTTTTGAGTTAGGTTCATAGACAACAAGTGAAGCTGGTTCTTTGTAATCCTCCCCGAATACTACCATCATAGGTTCACCACTATTTGTAAATCCCAAAATCCTTATTGATTCATATCCTGGGTTAATGGTATATAGCTTTGTAAAAGAATGCAGAACATCATTATCCATAATCCATACATCACAAACTTCAAATTCGCTTTGTGTTCCAGGCTCATTGCGTGTAAAGTATTTAAGCACAGCAAGAGACTCCCGTAGCTTAGAGATGGAAAGCCTAGCATATGCTAAACTATCTGGTAGGTCTATCGCTCTAAATTCTTCGGTAGTCATATCAAATGAAATAATCAGCTGTTTTTTGCATCTGAAAATCATCATCTATCTGAAAATCATCATCTATCGGAAAATCATTATCCATAGCAACCCAATAAATATAACTATGGATAGCTATATCATCCAATGTAACCTGAATTGATTTCTTAGGCAGATTGCTACAAGCAATTCTCCAACTACCTCTGCTCAATTTAAAAACGTCAACCACGGGAGAGCTAAATTTCGTTCCAAATTCCGTACAAACATTTTTAATCTTCACAATCGTAGGGTCATTAGTGATAGGACAAACCCCAAAACCAACAACAAATTCAAAATAAACTGAAAAACCTGGGACAGGTATTAAGACTGATTTTCTAATCGAAGGATTCAAAAGAACAATCATATGATCTTCATACAAACCAGACAAACACAACAATCCCTGAGAGCTCCCGAGCACTTCCAATCTAAATAAATGTTCAGAGAGCACAAGAACAGTCGGAGCAAGCTCTTGTTGGGCGAAAGCATCATCATCGACAAACGATACGTACTTTTGCTTCAAGTCTACTGGATCTTTGTACCATACAAGCAGTCGTTGTGGATGAGTCTGGCGGAATCTGTAGCCAGCAATAAACTCGGAGCTGTCGATCAAAGACTTCCATTGTTTTGAGACGGATCTAAATTGAAGTAATGACTTCACAGGTAGTCTTTTGATGATGTCCACTTGGATTTCAAAAGGTATGTATTCTGACATTTTTGATTTTTGGAGGTAGCTGGGGATATGAATTTCTAGGGTTTTATGATATTTTGGTTTTGGGAGATGGTAGGGGATAACGAATATTGGGTATGGTCCCGTACCCAAATAACCATGTTATATTATAATTAGAATAAATTGCAGTTTAGTCCTTGTGGTTTGTATTTTTCAATTGATTTCGTCTTTATTTATTTATTTATTTTTTTGTAATAATGAAATGGTCTCTTTGTTGTTTACCGTCAATGTCTCCGGTTAACTATGTATAAGATGATGAAAATTGCCTTGTCCTTTTAGATTTTTATTTTTTTTATTATAATTACTTTAATTATTAAATAATTATGCCCCACTTACCCCAACTTAGGTGTTGTTTGTTTTTTCGAAGCGAAAATTCATGAAGTCTGCGGACCACCTCTGCAATTATCTGTAGCAGAAGATAACGGCTGCAGCCTATTATAAGAAGCATGTTTGTTTTTTAACATTTGCAGACTGCTGCAGTAAACTGAAATTTAAATAAACTAATTTTATAAACTGAAAATAGTTCTCGACACCGAAATTTAATAATTCTAGTCTTAAAACATTGAAATAATAATAAAAAGAACATGTAAAAAAACAAAATTATAAAACTTTTTTTTTTTGAAAAAAAAATGTAAAAGAAACTAATAGTTTTATTCTGGAAAAAAAACTAAATTTAAAAAACATTAAAAAAGAAAATAATAAAAAAATTAAGAAAGTATTGCAAACGATGTGTACAAAGTTCGTAAAAAAGATGCAACTGAAATTGAAAATATTATTAATAGAAACGATAAAAAAATGCAACTGAAATTGAAAATATTATTAATAGAAACGATAAAAAAATGCAACTGAAATTGAAAATATTATTAATAGAAACGATAAAAAAAATTAAAAAAATCAAGTTAAAAAAATCGTGGAAAGTATAAAAATAAATTGTATCACATCCGTAAATAAAAATTTAAGAAAATCAAAGTTTTAAAAAAAAAGTTAAAAAAAAAAAAGTTATACAAAAATTCTTAAAAAAACACTTGGAAAAAATGAAAGCTGAAGAGGTTAGAAGAGGCAAGTCAAGTGCTGCGCCACGCAGCACACGCGCAGAGGTTTTGTAGTCTGAAGTCTTCCAAAAAACAAACTGCTGTGAGAGGGAAAGTGTTGCGCGTGTGCTGCGCCGCGCAGCAATAAGTGGTTTGAAGAGGTTTTTATAAAAAAACAAACAACACCTTAGACTCATTGTTAGATGCTACTAGTCTTTCTCCAGCCACCGTACCTACCAACCACCTTACTGGAGTTGCATGGCAACCAATTCAATTTTGCTCTTATAACCAACAATTTCACATCCAACTTCATGAGTAACGGTAACAATAATAGTATAAAAACTAACAAGTATCCACGGGCTAATGGATATATGCACTCAAAATGGAAAATTAAGCTTCATAAAACCATATATTGGTTAAATAGTTCTTTTCTGTTTTGATATGGGTTGTACGTATTAGGATTGACGAATTTGTATCAAATGAAACAAACAAACATATTACTAACCGAACCAAGAAAGTTGATATAAATATTTTTGGTGACCAACATGTTTAGTTGGTAGTACCATACCAGGTAAGTAGTCATGGTACAAAATTTTGAATAACAAGGTTATATCGTACCAACATCTTTTTGTCCCACACAGGAAGCACTTACTGAATTAAGTCAAACCCATATTGAGAGGTGTAACAAGGGCATCTTAATAGATTAAGGATTTGCCTTGAAATCAACATAACAACAGACTTTTCATAAACATAAAACTTGAACTTAGGGTTTAGCTTTCAATCCAAACCTCTTAAGCACTTGATACATTGATACAAGAGCTAAAAGAGAGCCTCAACTTAGCCACCATGAATTGATGGCGACTTGGTGGTGAAATGGTGGTCATTGGTCAATTAACGGTCGTATGGTAGTTAGAAACCATACATCAATGTATATTTCCAAAATGGGAAAAGAATATGAGTGCTTATCTTTAACCTCAAAGCCATGGAATTTGAAACTTAAAACAACACCGCCAGTATGCGATGCCACTGTGGGTCTTCGACAGCCACCACCACCCATGAAGGTGGTGGTTGGTCGTGGTACTCCATGTTGGTTTAAGTAAGGAAAAAGAAGAGAACAATTAAATGGATGTGTTTCTTACCAATGTAAGAGCTCCAAGTGACAACTACTCATTTCCACCTCCTTCTAACTCCACTGGAGGTCTTTGGCGACCCATTTCTGACGGCCCATCATGATTTTCGGCCACCCTTTCCCTTTCATTCCCGGTTTCTTCTTTTCTCGACATTCATTACTCTCTCTCTCTCTCTCTCTCTCTCTCTCTCTCGCTCTCTCTCTCCGTCTCATTTCCTTCTAGATCTACGCACAAAATGGTAGCAACAGGGGTGAATGAGGTGATTTATGTTATAAACGGTCACATGTAGGGTAGGAAAGAAGGATGTGGTCGATGCTCCAGTTGTATAGGCTAATAGAGTTGAATTTTCCACTTTGGTCCCTAGAGTTTAGTCACTTGACAAAAATACCCCAACCCTAGTTTCCTTGACAAATAAGTTTCTAAAAATATAATTTCAGCCCCCTTAACAAGGTTTACTTCTTATAAATAATTAATTTAGTTTATTCTTAAAATCTAGTTCCTTATTTATTACTTATTCTTTTATTTATTTTATTTCATTAAATTTTTAAATCATTTTAATCTCCTTAAGTCCTTTTACTTAATTAAAATGCTCATTTATTCTTATTTCTATTTATTTAATCATTCTTATATTTGTATTTTATCTTTTAAATAATTAAACGGAAAAAGAGACATTAATTACAACAGGCGGTCGTAAGGAAACATAGTTGAATCTAGCATATGACCAGAGTGCCGACATGTCTCATCATAACCTAAAATCCATCATACCACTACAAGAAACAAACATTGCCCCCTTCCAGAAGCACTATAAATAAATCCATCATAGGAGGTATCATTAAGCAATACTCAACTCTTAAATTCTTCATAAAGCCCTTATCACTCTACTAAGTTAAGCACCCCTGAATTAAGAACGACCCTAGTTTTCTTTGTGATCAACAGATACATCAGATTCAAACTTGCCTCAAGAAGATACCATAACTTATCAAATTTAAATAAATAAATAAATAAGATAGAGAGAGAGAGAGAGAAATATAATAGGGTTCATGCCATTTTCCCTCATCGAGCTATAGGTTTTGATCTCATTTGGTAGTTTGTATTATAGGTCCCTAAACTAATAGTTATGAACCTATGGATTAGAAAACCGAATGAAAAATCAACCGAAATCGAACCGAACCAGCACCAAATATCGATGTTTGAATCACCAATGATGAAGTTACATAAATTAAGTACATCAAAAGAGTATCATATGCTTGTTCATTGTTTCAAAAGTTCATCAGAACTATTTAAAAAAACTTGATGATATTCAAAATTTCTTAGCAGAAGCTATCAACAAACTTCATCAATTGTTATGTATATTTTTAGTTATAATGTGTTTCTTTCAAGCGGTGATAGTTTCCAGTTGCATTAATAAGAATTGTTTATCGTGTTTTACGATCCACAATTGTGTGATTTTTGGTTGACTGTAACACTGTAATTTTTCGAAAAACATTTTCATTTTTAATTCTCAAAATAATTCTCATAAATCCACATCATCATATAAATTGTAACTTATTTTCATAACAACATCAAAGTATTCCAAAATCCTCCACTCTCTATAAGCCGACAGATGTGTACAATCGAGCCTTCGCCTTCCCAAGATCTACAGAAGTAACTAAAACACATATCACATAACACGGTAAGCACGAAGCTTAGCGAGTTCCCCAAAATACCACATACACAAACAATAAGCCTCTCATGGCTATAGCTCAGCATAGACCCTCCGGTCATGTGTCTCAGTGAAGACCCTCCGGTCTCACAGCTCGGGTTGGACCCTCTGGACCTATCTCAATAATGCTCAGGATAATATACAACATAATCACAAGGACAACATACACAATATTACATAACTAAATATAAGCACATAAGTCATAACCCTCTGATCATAACCCAGAATATACACAAAATAAGATGATAACATAAGTCATAACAACAGGATGCATAATAGCACATATCTCAGTATAAGCTCATAAGAATACACATACACGGACAATATAACAACATAAGTCACAAAGACAATATGCATGATAACACATATCACTGATAGCACATATCACAGTATAAACAAATAGGACCCTCCGGTCAATAACGTAATAAGACCCTCTAGTAAATAGTGAGGACCCTCCGGTCTCACAACTCAGGTTGGACCCTCCGGTCCTGTATCTCAGTAAAGACCCTCCGGTCACACATAAATTAACACTAAGGTAAGTATAGTGAGAAGACTCACCTCACGAAATAAAGACACATATTCCACCCTTGAGCTGCTGGTCAAATCTCCGCCCTTCCACGGCCTCCAAAATCCGCAGTTGACCAAAACCCTAAAATCAATAGAAGTCAATACTCAAGATTGACCCAACCCTAAAAGTCAACGGAAGTCAACACTCAAGTCAACAGTCCATGTCGACTCAACTCGCCAAGTACAGCTCTTGAACTCTTCGAGTTCCTCTGAACTCAATAAATCGCAAAAACCCAAGTCAACTCGCCGAGTTGCTAGCCAACTCGTCGAGCCCATGCAGCATCCAGAAGACCAGGAAAACCCTATCAACTCGTCGAGTTGGCTCGTCAACTCGCCGAGTTCACTCTCAAGACAAAAACGGGTAAAACCCTATCAACTCGTCGAGTTGGCTCATCAACTCGCCGAGTCCCTTAAGTCTATTTCTCATTCAGTCGATTTAAGGCAGATCTACAACTCTATACTCCAGATCTATCCTCTTAAGGCTCGAATATCACGTAAAGCTTTGATCTTTATGTTCATGCATGGCATATTTGCTCCATAATGCCAATATAAGCT